TTACATTTTTGAAAAAGAATTATTGCTTTTGTTAGAGACTTCATAGTTAACGTATAAACAATTCTAAACTTCATATATTCATCATATAGTTATGTTATCTGTCAGTTGTTAAAGTCTGCTTTTGTCATATAAATAAAAAATAAATTATGACGTGTCAGTGAAGATTTAAACGAAGATTTAAATGTTTAACAACGAAGATTCAAATTCAATTAAATATTGAGTTCGTCATTCTCTGTTTTGAAAATGTTGAAATTTCTAACATAAAATATGAAGAGTAACGCGTTATAAATCAGAAACATTATGAGAAAGGAAAAATGATCATTAGAAATGGATTACGAATTATTTATACACACAGACCGGCAGTGGTTGATGTTAATTTAAAGGAATGATTTGTGAAAAATGATTATTTGGCAGCAAGTAAAAGCTGGATGGAGATTGTTTTAGAAAAAAAGTATTGTCTATCAGTTATTCTGGTTAATAAAATAGGAAAAAAGTGCTATTTTTAGAAGCACATATTATTCTTAGAGAGACAAAGAAGGATAGGTGCTTCGTAACTAATTGTGGACTGACAGCAACTAAAAATTGAATAGAATATTAAAAGATCCGGTTGTGATTATGATTATTTGGTAATGACGAAGATAAAGGAGATGCTAATTATGCGTTCGCAAATGAAGTGTTATGAATTAGAAGAAATCATGATTTTACGGCATAAAGTTAGTAAAATTAAGATAGTAAAATTGTGATTGGTATAGGATATTGGTTCCTTCTTTCCATATTAGTAATGTAAAATGGAAATCCTAATTTTTAAGGATATGAGTAATAGAGATTAATAAATCGGAAGAATCGTGGTTTCGGCAGTACAAGATATGGATAGAGAATTGAACTGTAACAAACTGGACAATTGCCATTTGTTTTTGTGAAAAACGAAATTTCATTAATTTGGAATTTAAAGTCGCTACACGAGGCAGAAACAGGACATAAAATTAGAAAAAGCTTACATGCATCAATATTAAATGTTCTTAATAGTATTTGTTCTTTCTTTCTTTTAGAATTCTGATCTATTATAAGATCTCATCTAAATAAAATAAAATTATTTAAATAAAGTTCTTATTTAATAAAGTACTATCTCATGAACATGGTTGTAGGGATGATGTAGGGTTACACCACAAAAACCGAAAAATGCTACTAAAACATTTAATTTCAATATTCTTTATTTTTCTCTTACATGAGTACAAAAATCACATTGACTGGGGAGATGCAACTTTAGAAATTCATTAGCAAGATTTTTAAAAAATCATCATCAAACAACATCGTATACATCCGTTATATTTTCATCAATAATTGGAACTCCCATAGTTGCTTCTAAGTTGCAATCGATTTTCATTATCGTATCATCAATAAAATGTGCCTCTATTTATAGCCGAACTTCTCTAGAATGGAATTTACTGGACATTTTCCGTTTATTGACATCTCCAAAATTCTGGAAGCATTTAAAGTTTAAAGCATAAACCCGGATAATATCTAGAGGAGAAAATTAGCTTACAACTTGAATAAAGAGATAAGCTTAAAGCATTAAAATGGCAGTTAACAAAATAAACGTGCTTAATTGTGTAATTGGTAAAATAATGGAGATAGAGGGAGAGAATATGTGCATCACATTAGGTACTGGGGTAAAGTGTTACAAAATGATGCAAATTTAAAATAAAATGAAGGAAAGTTGCATTAAAATTTTAACAAACAAACGACAAATAAATAATTATTATGAAAAAAAAAACGAAATTTTATTTTATAAAATTGTAGAAGTAAATTTTTTCAACTTTTGGTTCTCAAGATTCTCCATCAGTTTTTTCTCTGAAAAAAATAGTGGAAACCACGGTTACCGTCAACTTTATACACTGATGTTGGTATCTGTGGATATTTTTTTTTCTCTCGTTATTTTTATATTTTATCGAAAAAAATTTCTCATTTTTCTTATCTTTCGGAGTAAGAACTTATATTAAACATGGCATCTCGGAGTCTTCTTACAATCAATCCGTGATGGTAGTTTCTTTAGGTTGCTATTATTTCGCTTTGCTATTAGATCTTTGTTCTTTTTCGAATAAGGTTTACTTCTTTATTGTTTTTCCCCCGTCAGAAAAGGTTGTCTTTCGAACCTAGCTGAATCGATGGATTTTACCAGATGAAATTGAACTTGATAACTTTTTTCTAAGAATGCTTATAGAAGTTCTGTTTTCTTTTTTTTCCCCCTTTTTTTCTACCCCTCTCCTTTTTTGAGGTATGGAGAGTAGATAATAGATTCAAAAGACGTGACTGAGACTCTTTTGAAAGTCGTAGCGCTTTTTTTAAATTTGCATCAGTCCTTTTTTTGTTGTTGTTGGTAAGATTTGAGAACCGTAAACGTCCAGTCAGGTGTCATATTTTGCACTGGATTTTTTTTACTTAAATAAATAAGAAATTCTATGATGTTATGTCTCATGGTACTAAGGATAAATTCAAAGACATTTTTAAAAAAGTGTGTAAATCTATACACATAATAAAATAAAGAATGTGTGTGTGTATACCGGATTATGGGTGAACGGTAGACTCTAAGAATACGAAATTCAGCATGAAGCTGAGTGAGAACAATTGTAAACTTATTTCGAAGCCCAATTTATCTTCGAAATAAGTTTACAATCGAAGAAATGGAATTTTCTCATTGGCTTAGCTGAAGCCATTGTTTTACAGTAAACTATAAAAGATTTAGCTTTGTCAAATATTTTTAAAATAGCATCAGTGTTTCTGTTAGCTTATAGCTCTAATCAAAAAAGTTGTTTACGTCTCGTTCTGTAACAATTAACCTGGCATAATAAATAAAAATTATCTGAATTTTCAACATGATCGCGGTAGCATAAGCGGATAATTTCGCCAGAATAATATTTTTAAGGTTATCTGAAACCACGTGTTTATTTAGTTTAAAGTTATGCTCTTAAAACGTGTTTTTATAAAACTAAATATTTTAAAATCAACGGTAATTGAAATATTGATGACAGTGATTGTTTATTTTGCTAATAATTACTTATTGTTGCTTATAACAATCACTTATTGTTACTTATAATAATTACTTATTATTATAATCTGTGATAAAGCTTTGAAAAGTATTGCTAGAAATTGTTGAATCTTAAAAAAACTTAAAAAAACAATTTTTTTTTCTACAAAAGGTAAATTAAATGAGAAACATGGAAACTATGAAAATACAACACAATGGAAACGTTACTTTTTCATAGTCTCATATGATGTATATACAACGTACAGAGCGCAAAATATAAAAAAAATAAACAGACCACCCTGAATAATTTTTTTATTTATTGTTTGGATCTTCACTTTCAATCTTAATGATTCAAGGGGGTGACCTCATATATGGTAATTATTAGGTGCAGATGATATTTTAAGCTACGAAATTAGACACGAAAGCATACTTTCTCTCAATAAACATACCTACCTTTTTTTTCCCGACCTATTTGGATTTCTGATCTGAAAATGTCAAGGATAATCGCAATCTGGGAAATATCTGGGCACCACAATCTGGGTCCTAATAGTTGGTCAGGAGATGTAGTTTGAAGTTTGGACCCCTTATTGTTAATTTTTCCCCCCTTCATATTTCGTCATATCTCTAGAACCTTTTAAGCGAATTGAAACAATTTTGCGCACAATTATAAAATTCGTTTTTCCAAAGATCTACGCAAAAAATAACTTTTAGCGAATACTTATTATTTTTTATTAGTTTTTATTATTAGTTTATTTTATAACAGTCACAAAATTTTTTTTTTGGGAGGGTTGTAGGGAAGGGCATCTAATTTTTTTAATATCATTTTAAAGAATATAATTTTACATGGCAAAATACAAAATTCGAGAGAAATACGAATCGGGTCTTGGGAAATCGAATTTAAAAAAGTTATATTTTATTTAAATAAAAAAAAAAAGATCGATTCTTAAAAGGAGATAAAGAGTTTTCAGAGATATTTGTTAAAATAGGGGAAAAAAAAAAGAATTTTTCTTTATATATATTATTTATATATATATATATTTTAAGAAGTTAAGTAGGAGTTTTAAAAATGTGTAGAAGAACAAATATGAGTAATTAAATATTTTTACGAGTTAGTACGCAACTTATATCACAAAAGAGTGAAGCACTACTTATTTGAGAAAACGTTCTTCTGATGTCTTGTAATATAATTGTACCCAAGGGGGCAATTCCGAGACATTTACAAAGAAGAGTAGGAGTTAAAATGTTAAAAAAAAAGTGACAACACTCTTCTTTAAAAACCGTGTCTCTTGAGAATTTATTTTAAGATAGTCGACGCGCCGACAGGCACATGAGGTGTATTTTGAAATTCGTTGATCCAGGGGTGAGAGCTTCTGTTATCAAAAGAGACAGAAAGCTGTTTTTAAATAAGCTCTTTTCATGTTTCTCAAACACTCTCTTAAAACTGTTTGTTTGCTTGCACCTAAGCGAAACTTTTAATTTCTTTTATTTTAACTTCAAAATCGTTTGTTCCTTTGCATTAAACCGAAACATTTTAACTCGTTTATTTTAAGCATAAAATTCCTTTATTTTTAGAGATTAGGGGATAAATATTATATTTAATTTTTTTCCCTCATACTTTTTAATCAGTATTGATAACTTAATATAGCAATTTTATTGCAAATGTTTTTAGTATTATTCTTTATTTTGGAAATAAAAACTAGAACAAATTGGACTTAGGAAATAAAACTAAATTTTTTTTTAAAAAAAATTCCTTTTTAAAGTTCTAATGTATGATTGTAATTTTAAAAATGTAAAAATAATGGTCTATTTCAAATTATTTTTTTGATAAAAATATGTATTATTTACATCTAAATAAGCTTACAAACAAATTTTACCTAATATATTGTATGTAAATTACTTTATGAGTTATGTGGAAGAAATTATTTTATTTGAGAAATATTTTCAGAGATTTATGAGCGTTATTTTTCTGATTTAGGATGCACCATTATCAGTCTCCCTTGGGCTCAGAATGGAAGAAAAAATCTTCAATTTAGCTGACACACATTTTTTCTTTAACGACTTAGAGGTAAGCACTTAGTTGTACACTAATAAAATAATGTTTAAAAGTCATAGCACATCTTATTTAACTATAACATAATAATAAATAATAAGAATCTAAGAGAAAAATATTTTTGACTAAAAGCTGTGCTATTTTTGTAAGTTCTTTATTTGTTTCATAAATTAGTTTCATATTCTTAAATACTTTCCCTGTGTAAGAAACTTAGTGACTTATGCTCTGAAAGTAAATGTTATCATTTCTTCTTCTTAAATGGCACTACTGCCTACTGCGGGACTTGGCTTATTGAATAATGTTACAACAAACTTTTCTTTTCTCTGCCTTAAATTTCAAGTTTGAAATTTTCACCATTATTTTGGCAGTGCATTATCTAGCCATCTTTTTTAGGACATTACTTTGCAACTTAAGTCCAATAGTTTCTAATTTAAGGTCCTTCTCAAACCATTATTTTTGTTCATATTAATGAAAAAGTAATGAACTGAGGAAAATCATAATGAAAAAAAAAGTTATGGTATAATATTTGAATGTTTTTGTTGTTTCATCCTAGTATGCTGCCTCAAATTTCTTAAGGAATTGTTTCATTTCTCATTATTTATATTTAAAAAAAAATTCTTATTTCTTTTTTAATTTTCTTAAAAATTATTTCTCTCATGATGTATCAATATTATTTTTTAAATTAATATATTTATATATTTCTTTATATTTGATTCTTAAATATTTTTTTTTACATATATAAAATTGAAAAAAGGAATTGTACTTTTTGTTAATTACTTCAATGTAAAATGATAATTTAAATTTTTATAGGGAATTTGAAAATAGCTGTATATACAGTATACTAAAATAGTAATTTGATGTTTCTTGAGAAGCATGTTGAAAATAATGTTTATAAATTGTAGTGCTGCCATCTATCAATATATGTTCAAAAGCAATTGTAATATAGTCTGAATAGAAATCTGAATCTAGGAAATTCAAAACATTTTGTTAGACATAAGTTTTTGTAGTGCTGCCATCTATGATTTTTTTCTCAAAGCAATTGATTTTAATAAACTATATCTTTATATGAACTTTTGAGAGATTGTACTTCTGAAGAAATTTTAATGTTTTAAACAAATATTAAAATTTTATAATTTTTAAGAAATTATGCCAAAAGATTTTTTGAAATTGATTCTCATATAAAATGATTGTTCCTAACTTTAAAATAGAGTCTTTGTTTCAAACCAACATATTTATTAAATAAATTAGTTGCAGTGGAATGCTGGTCTCACTCTGAAAATAATTGTATAGTCAGAAATCCCATCTTTTTTAAACTATGGTTTTCTTTTTCAGGAATGTGATCAAGTTCATATTGATGATGTTTCATCAGATGACAATGGACAAGATCTGACGTAAGTTATTTAAGTTACAAATGAGCTTGTTTCAAAATGTTTTACTTCTAAGTTTATAATTGTTAGTTTTATTTACCTCTTCAAGGTTTCAGACAAATTAAAAAAGGAATAAAAATAATTTACCACATTTTCAATTACCCAATAAATGGAATGAAAATGATAATTATTTGTCTTGTACTTAAATTTAAACAATATAAAGTTATGCACAAAAAGTTTAATATTGTTTAAATTTAATTTGAATTTTAAGCAATTATATTTCAGCTTTGATCAAAAAGGGGGTAAAATATGCTTTTACTAAATCCAATAAAAAATAAAAGAAAATCTAAAAGAGCTCTGCAGATCATGATATTAAAATAAATTCTTTTCATTTTAAAATGAAAAATTAATAAAATATTGATTTAAAGGGCTCTGATTTGTGCCTAGGTTAATTTTTTAAAAGAAATTAATTACCATAAGTTAGCAGGTACTTAGCAGATATAAAACATTAACCAGAAAAATTAATAATAAGTGTCTTTTTTTTTTAATCAAATTTAAAAAGAAGGAAAACTATTCCTTATTTTTCTTGAATGACCATTTAAAAAAAAAAAACTTTTATTTTTCGTTTGATCTTTGAATTTTACTTGATCTCGGTTTTTTTTAGCGATTTTTTCTTTCTTTTTGTTGTTCTTTCTTTCTTTCTTTCTTCTTTTTATTTTAATAATAAGAAAATTTGAGGTGAAAATTATCTAGGGATTGTGTGAAAATCTGCCACCTTTCAAAGGATGCAACCAACAATTATATTTTTTTATAGTTCTGAAAAATACTTTTACATGTATGCATGAGAAATTCTTCTCAAACAAATTTCTATAAGTTAATTTAATTTTGTAAAAATTTTAATCATTTCTCAATTTTATACTTTGTATTTAATTAAAATCAGATCCTATTTAAATTCATTAAATTAAAAATGGACATACCAAAGGTATAAAAAACAGGGAGGTATTATTTTAAACTTTTTAACTAGCAATAAAAAAAATTATCAGTTAATGATTTGGAGTTGATTCCATGTAACATATAATAGACATTGTTTGTAATTATTTAAGATGACATATCAGTAGCATTTTGCAAGGATGCAAGTGTGCACTTGTGTATCTATGTTTAAAAGCTTATGAATTGAATTCTGTAGTAGGTGGCCATTATTTGAAAAGCAAATTATTATGAGTTTTCAGCATAAAATAATTTTCTTTTTTATTATAATTTTTGTTTAATAAAAAAATATTTTATAATTTTACTGTAATTTTAGTAACTTTAAAAATTTATGTTTCAGGAATTACAATTTTCAAGCTGATGGTTTTCATGCGGCAGCATCAAATGCTAGCATATGTCTAGCTACAGGAGTGAGAGGTGGCGTTGATTGGATGAGGAAGCTAGCTTTTCGATACAGAAGAATTAAAGAAGTGTACAACCAATACCGTAATAACGTTGGAGGTAAGAATTGGAAATTGAAATAAGATCAAATTTAGCTATTTTAGAAAAAATTCTCAGTTAAAAATATTTGTTATTTTTTTAAATGTATTTTTGTTGATTTGTTTAAAATATCACTTGCTATAGTACAATTTTGCAGTAGGTATCTTATTTGCTACAGTACAATTCTGCATTTTTATAGTAGCTTTTTTGCTAAAGTACAATTTTTACATTGCTTTTTTTCTATTGTACAATTTTTTCTACATTAACTGTTTTGCTACAGTACATTCCGCTTTTTTGCAGTAGCCCTTTTGGTACAATACAATGTCTCTTTTACTATGGTACAATTTTCTCTTTTTGATTTAGTTCATATGCTATAATATAATTTTCCTTTTTTGTTGTAATAGCTTTTTGCTGTGATAAATTATAATAAATATTGCGTTTTGCAATCATTGCTTTTATGTGCCTCTAAACTCTTCATTAATAGTTGAATCAGAAATGTTGTCTAAACCTGCTGTATTAAAAGCATCAAAACCAGTTTGGCTGTTCGAGGAAACTCTTTTAGACACTCTTTTCACAGCCAATACAATTTAACTGATTTTATTGCATTTAATTACACCCTGATTGCGATTGACCGCATCTCCTAAATTAATATTTTTTTTCTTCATTTTTGACGGGAATTTCAAATATATAATATATCAAGGTCTGTGATTGCAGAACATTTTGTATGTGGAACATTCATTGCATACATATATCACATTGTTTATTCCCCTATAAAATGTTTGAACAATTTTTGCATTCATGATTTTAGGTCTTTTGGGCCCAGGGAAGAGAGAAGATTGGCTTCAACTTCGCTCTGAAATTGAAGACCTAACTGACAATTGGGCAACTTTGGCCCTTAAATGTTTATCAATCATTCATTCCAGGCAAGTTTTTTTTTATCTAAGTTGTTTAACAATACTTATAGTAATATTGTTAAAAGGTAAGGAATTTAAGTTTAAAGTTAATTTTTCTTTACTTTGAATTCAATTGTATTTGTAGGTCGAGCTGTGTTAATGTATTAGTGACAACTACTCAGCTAGTCCCAGCCCTTGCGAAAGTTCTGCTGTATAATTTGGGAGGTGTCTTTTCTATAGAAAACATATACAGTGCTACAAAAACAGGTAAAGTACTGTAAACTTTATCCATATTTTATCTCCTTTCACAATACAAGAATACCTAAATTCATTAATTTTGAAATTTCTTACTTAATTATTTAAATTTGTTGAAAAAGTTATAGCATTAAGCAATTGAGGACCATTACATGTTTTATTAACTGGATTGATAGAAGTAATTTTTATCAATTTCTTTCAACTTTTAATTACATCCCGATTAAAGTAAACATCCATTTTAGTTTATTACATGATAAACTTCTCCAAATATTTAAAATAACTCTTCCTGCCTGAAGCTATGGTACTTATTTTAAGAAAATGCATATTTATTGTAGTAGCTATTTAGAATTTAATTTTAAGAACTTTATTTTGCAATGGTTAAATGTTAAATTGTTACCTCTTAATTGTTGATATCAAAGATAAGGTTTAATACTTTGATATTCTATTAACTATACAATTCTGGAAAATAAATATTTGTGAAAATGATACCACTGCTTAGTTTATGTATACGCTGAAAAAATCCCGTATTATAAATTGATACATCCATTTATTGCAAATGATACTGCTTGTATAAGAGATCAGCAAAAAGTTTTTGACATGCGGACACAATTACGCTAAATTTAATGAATAGCACACATAAATAATATATACAGAGTAACTCGTCATGTTATAGATAGAAAAATTAATATTTTTGAGAGAAAAAAACAAAAAAAAAATGATTGAAATTTGAGGAAAACAAGACTATAAACATCAAGAACAGCTCATTACTAGATGAAACTTGAAGGTGTTTGGTACTCTTTCAGCAATTAAAAAAAAAATATTTTGAAGATTTTGATCTCGCCTTCCTTGTTAGTGCTTCAACGGTTTAATTTTGTTCTTTTTTCCTTGCCTAAACATTTGCAAGCCCTAATGTATCTATTTTTTTATTCTATTTTTGAGATCGATTTTAAAAATACATATTGAGGGTGGTTATTATTGAACACCATGTATACACATATATGTGTAACTTTCACTCTTGAAAGTCTAAGTATTGAAAAAAAAAATGTGCGTTTTTCTCTTTATCCGAGTCTCAATTTCTGTATTAAGTTTTTACATCTCTTTAATTTAGTTTCCTTTTTATTACAGGGAAAGATTCTTGTTTTGAGCGTATAGTGTCCAGATTTAGTCGGAAATGTACTTATGTCGTTGTTGGGGATGGTCGAGACGAAGAGCATGCGGCAAAACAGGTATATAATTTAAGTTATTGTTTAAATTCTATTAATTGTTTCATTGCTAATTAAGTCTAATAGTATGTTTACAATAAAAATACAAGATCAGATAAGATAACAAGAGACAAAAACAACAAGAGACAAGATCAGACAAAAATACAAGATTTTCGTATCAATCTCTTTTAATTGTGTAATAGTGATAATTTAGTGTTATAAAAGCCTTATAGATTTTTCTTTCTAATTTGTGGTAAACACTGTAAAAGGCTTTTCTGATTTATTAGAGAACGATAGCTACAATCTTAAAATAGACAGAAATAATTTTTTTCCTAATTGCATGCTTATTGGTTAATACTCGATAATAATAAAAATAATAATTTTTTAAACCCTCATAACGAAGATGCCTCATACAACATTTCCTTTCAAAGTGTGGTCTTTTCTTGGATATTCAATTACAGTTATGAAATAAGATCAAATATATTAAATAAGCTAAATCAATCTTCAAACAAATTTCAAATTGTAAATATATGTTAGCAAATAAATTAAGAACTATCGACACTTTTTCTATTTTCTCAGATTATTGGTTTGGATAAGAGAAATAATAGAAAGATTCACGTGGAAGGAGAGTTCTTTAACATTCACATATTTCAAAGTTGAGTGTATACATTAAATGTATTTCAGGCCACCATTCAAAATTTTGATCTATCAGAACCCATGAATGAATTTTGCTAGAAAGATTCATGTGGAAGGAGAGATCTCTAACTATTCAAATATTTCAAAGTGATAATGTATACATTTAGAAGTATTTTACCTTCCGAAATATTTTTTTAAGCTCATTAAAGTCAGTATGTTTAACTAAATTTTGTCACATATTTAACTTAGATTATTTTTATTATGGAGTTAACTTTTTATAGCTGTAGATTATTTCTAATATGAATTTTTTTTTAAAAGTAAAATTTAATCCAAACAATTAAAAAGTTTGCAAAAAGTGGCTATCAAATCAAAAGAACTTATCGATTTTGGTCACATCACTAAAGTCATTAGAGTGTACCGGCCTTTGGCTACTAATTGAAAATGTAAATTTTCAGATCTATTGACATTTTATGATGAATCGCTTAAAATTCAAGTTACAGTACCCTCAGCATGGGATGTGAATACAAAGCTTTTTATTTAAAAAACGAACAAAAAAACAAAGAATAGCAAAGCAGTCAATAATTTAAGACAACCACAAACGAACAAAACAAAAGTAACTTATATAATTTGTTCCATATTTGTAAAGCTACCTCTATATTTATGTCTGACCTCTTTAAGATATGAAATAATTCAAAAACTTATCATCTCGGTTTCATGTCCATGTATTTGTTAAAATCTATTCTTTTATTTTCAGATGAATTTTCCCTTCTGGAGGGTAAGCAGTCATTCAGACCTTGCAGCTCTTCATCATGCATTAGATTTAGGACATCTGTGAAGTGATTTCATATTTTTATCAAGGTTCTCCAAAGATTAAATAAAATGCATCCCCTAGCGGATTGCCTTTTCCGCTCTCACGATCAAAGCCTTCTTGACTGAACTAGCTTTCGTGTACAAAAATTGATCGAGGAGGCTTAAAAAAATATGGGTGCAATACCGAGAGACATATGAATGACACCTGTAATCATTCCAAGACTACGACACCAAGAATGAATGACTATGTCAACTCATTTACTCAAATGAAATGACACTCCTGTATAAAAGTCATCAGATTGTAGACACTTTCAATCATTGCACAAAGATCTCTCTATATTTTTAGATCAGTGTTTCTTCTGCAGACTGTTCGAAATATATCAGTTCCTTTCTAAAAAAGCTCGAATTCGGAGAAGCGGGGCTTCTGAGGTGGTTTTTTCTTTGGAATACATCTTGGATTCGACTGATGAAAGACTGTGTTGTACATATATATAAAAAAAAAAATATGAATGAATATTTTGATGACAAAAAAGACTTTCTTATTTTGACTGTTGTAACCAAATTGGACAATCTTTGAAAGCTTTGATTGATAGATTTGATTGTTTAATAGGCAAATCTGTTTCCCGCAATGACCTGATCCAAGATTGCTTTGAAAAGCACTTGTTAATTTGTAAACTTATGATATGTTTTTCCATTCTTTTTGGAAAATATGAAACTTAAAAATGGTCCTTTTTTTTGTAATTATGCACACAGTTTTAAAAATGAATAAAATGTGATGCATTATCTGATTTCAATAATAGTTTTCTTTTTTAGTTATTTAGGAATTATAGGAAGAAAAAAAAATGCTTGTAATATTGTGAAATGTAGTGATAGCGAATTTAAGTTTTTCCCCCTCCTCTACGTATAAAACAATTTTGCTGAATTTTATTTTGAACTACAATATCACAATATCTGTGATAATTAAGTAAGCATCCAATATTTTTTATTTCAAAATTCCTGTTTTAAGGAAAATGTGTTTTATGTATTCAATAAAAATGTTAAGTGTGTTACAAATTATTAAAGATAATGATAATTGTGCATGTTAAATTTCATTATTTGGCTCTTTTTTATAAAACTTGCTAAAACAGTTTAATCTCTTCTAAGAACTTAAGGTATGAAACTAGTCTGAAGTATATAAATTGAAAAAGTCTAGAATTATATAAATATATCAGTTTTCATCATATTTAGAGATAATCATTATATTCAGATTTATTAACTACTTTAGAGTTTTCGTAACTTCTATGGATTTCATTTCCATTTTTACAGAATAAAGGATAGTTTTTAAAAACTACGGACAGAAGCAATTTCCCTCTTTTTATTGAATCCTATTCTGGTAAATGTTTTTGTTAAATGCCCAACTCCTTATTGTAAGCGTCGTTTAAACAAATTGGAATAAACTTATTTATTGTGACCAAACAAATCCATTAATTTCTCCCTTAATTAAGTTGCAAAAAGTATTTTCCGATAATTTTTGTAAATTCTGACTGTCTTTGTCGGCCTTGGAGATATGTCTTAGACTAATTGAAAATATGACTCTTTGGAAATGTAACCTTCATTTTGCAATGTGCCAGGCTAATTGAAAAAGTCACAAGTCACTTGTATTTTTATTTGTGTCTGATATTTTTCAAGCTTATTAAAATCAACGCACATGTCTTTGGGCAAATTAATAAATGTACAAAGACTTATAAACTTACTAAATCAACCTGACTTAGACTCATTGAAACGGTCATATGAATAAAGAAACACTTTGAATAAAAAAGCATAGAGAATCAAATTAATTGATCTGATAGTTAGAATATTATTAAGCACTTGCGCTAATTTGATACATTTTCGAATGAGCCTAAAAGCATTTTATCTAATTTTAAATTTCCCAGAAGTATCTAGGCTTTTGGCAATTTCTCTAAAAAGTGTTACATAGATTAAAAAATTATAGAAAATATTTTCCCAACAGCTAAGTGCATTGACGAACGAGGACGGTTTGCAAATAGCCAAATTTTCCAATAAGCCTATAACGTGCATATACTGATACTTTAAAAAACTAAACATTTACTAAAAAAAGTAAATTTTTGAATTATCAAATAAAAAATTAACATTTAAATATACTACGGAATTAACTCCGTAAATACGAAAAATTAAAAACTACGTTCAGTGGAAAAGAATCACTTGGTAGTCATTTTTATTTTATTTCCAAAAGAATTCAGAAATGTTGTAAAATCAATTTATAATAAATTCAGTCCTGATAATCAATGACTATTTACTTAAATAATTTGTTTATTTAATTATGCTATTCAATAAATACTTAGCGGTATTTACAATAAAATGATTTCCTTTTTTTTTTCTTCTTCCAATTTTTATTTCTGAGAAGCTGAATGATTCCAGGTTTTTACTTTTAAAGAATATCAACCAAAGGAATTATTGTATAGAAAAATTATGTAAATAACTTGTATGGAAAAAGTAAGGCACCTATTTCTTACATCACTTATCTGAAGCGAAATATGCAAAGCGAATATGAAATTTTATCTGTATTTTGTAATTTGTAAAGAGCAGTTAGAGAATTTCGAAAACATTTTCGAATTTTTGTTTCTGTAATATGCTAACTGAAATTCTTTATGTAGTTATTATTTTATTTGTAAGGAAATAAAATAAATATGGTTTATTTCTGTGCTTTACTTTATTTGTTATCAGTTATTTAAAAAGTTTATTATAGTGTGAATTAAAGTAAAGTTAATCTGTCATAAACAATACTCGTTTTTCAAAGTTAACAAAAATTAACATAATTCACATTACATCAAATATCAGAAACATTTCAAACCATAAGTTGGATTGTTGGATATAGAATTAACAGCAAAAGAGCCAGAAATTCGTATTTTGCACCCAGGTTAAATAGCATTACTTACTTAAGATAAGGAAATCAAATGTTATTGTTAACTAACTTAAATGCAGGAAAGACAAAGGTAAACAAACATTCGCTGGAACCTTGAGACCGTTTTATTGACCAGAATTTACTTGAAGAAAATTATTCTATAGGAAAAACGTTAACAAATATGCATTTAGCATGGTTTCTAGAAGATCTGTCGCCAAAGAGAATACAAATGACATTGTATTCTCTTGCCTTACACATGAAACAAAACTAGCCCCTATTTTATTGTAACTGTAGTTCGAAGGTAATTGAATATAATTCTAAAATTAGATGTAGTAAAATTCGAAGTTGAAAAAAAATTTTCCAAATTCAAATTATCACATTTATTGTTTTGTTATATAATCATAAGCAAATAACACTATTTCAATAAATGACATTATATTAAAGCTTGTATTTGATGGAAACAATTCGTCATTTTTAATTATTTCAAGATTAATTCCCCGAGATAATATTAATTGATCTGAACATGGTAATTATATTATATGGGCTATACAATTGAAACAAAAATATTAATTTTTTTCTTCGTAAATTTAAAATTAATCCTTGTATAGTAATTTAAAGTAAATTTATTAATTTAAAATAAAGTAAGTTAGCAATTTTTTTGAAAAAATACCTAATTATAATGAAACAGCTTTTTAATTACTTAAAATTAAAGCTAAATAGCAGTAATCATTAAAATTAGTTGCATTAAGATGAATTCTTACTGAAACAGATTCCAAAAAAATAAATGCTTGCAAAATATGATAATCGAAAGTTTAGAAAAGTGAAACATATGGAATTTTCATGCAAAAGGATAAACAATAACAAGACAGCATAAGTTTCATAAACAAAAATAATAGCAAAAATGCAACCAAGGATGATAAAAAGAAAGGCTTTAAAACAATTAAGTTACATATTTTTTGGTGGTTGAGAAAGAAAGTATAAATCATCATATATTTTGAAGTGTTAGGAACCTCACTTTAGAAATAAAATACATTTGTTTGGTGTAAATAACATTTTATATTTCCCTAAAGAAACAAGCAAAATATTATTTTAAAAATTAAATTTTGAAGGAAATTTAAAATATGAAATAAAATTAAACGCGACAAATACTGTTTCTTATAATAAATTAAACCACGGGAAATAATTGGAATTAAAAGAAAGTTTATCATATTTTTTGCGTCAAGGAGACAGGAGTTTCTCAGTTAAGAAATAAAAGCATTTGTTTGTTAATTTTGGTGTAAATAACATTTGATATTCCCCTGAAAAAATAAACAAAAATTGATTTTAAATAAACATCAATTTTTGAAGAATTCATAAACTATGAAATAAAATTAAACGTGAAAAATAATATTTCTTATAATAGATAAAACCACATGAAATACTGGGATTTAAAATGAAATAAAACTATAAGCTAAAAATATTTAATAACATTGATACTTATTTATAAATATTGTTTTTGGATAATTCCATACTCATTGTTTTGAAAGATATAACTATCAATAGTTACTCACAAAATAAAAGTGCAAAAATTCATTTTAAACATACCTGTCATTCACTGATTATCTTACAAAGGAGAAAGCATTTTCTTTCCTGTGCATTCCTTTAATTGTAAACATTGTCTCCTACAACAGAAAAACAACATAAGATTATGTGCATATTTATTCTAAACATATATCGTTTAGCTTTTTCTTCTGCACAGAGCTAAAAAAACGCGTTAAGAAAATGGACGCAGCTCGAAATGTGCCTTTTCAGTAAACGCAGTATTTCATTCGGACTTTTCCTCACCTGTTTTTTTTTTTTTTTTTTTTTTTTTTTTTTTTTTNTTTTTTTTTTTTTTTTTTTTTTCTTTTTTTTTTTTAAATACTAAGCATAATTTTACTAGGCTAAGTCCCAGACTTCGGATTCAGAAGTATTTCGGTATATTACAAATGAAATTTTTCAGGTATTCTCATCGCATTTAGAATATCAGAGATGATTGTGCTCCGGAAAAGTTCGGATTTTTCCCTAACAACGATCCCGAAATCCAAGGTCCAAAAGTTTCAAGATTTCATCGATCACATTTATGTATAAAAAATTCTTGTATGATTTATTTAAAAATATTAGAACTAGAATTTATACTTGGCATCTCTTTCATTAGAAAATATTTTTTTCTGGTATAATAATAAATGTGATTAGAGAGAAAAGTAAACTTATACAAAATTATTAATTTAAATTATGCTGCATATCATATATTAAGAATTTATTTCATGTTGTGAAAATATCTATTATTTAAATTTATAAAGAAATTAATTTTTTTAAATGCGTCATTAATGATTTTACTCAAGAAATTTTCAAGATGTTTGAGTTGGCCTCGCAGTCACCACTGGAATATACAATGCAAAAAATTATAGTATAAGTATTACCGTACAATTTTAACGGACAACAAAACCTGATGAACTGTAATTTTTACAGTAATATTTACTGTAAAATCACTGCAATTAAATGAATATTATTGTAAAAATTACGGTATAAAAATTTACGTTCAAAATAGATTTAGCAGATGATGCACCCAGGGTACTAGTTTTATTTTTTTTAACGTAATTTGATCCAGAATTTTTCACAGTAGTATAAACGATAAAGAAGTTTTTTAAAATCTAAATTCGTGCTATGTAACTTTAGTACCACTGTTGTAAATAAAGACCCATGACAACCTTCTAAAAATTTCTGTTCACTTGTTGGCATGCTTTAAAAAAAATATGAAACAGGTGATTTATGGAAATGTAAGAAATCACATTACGGATTTATTTTTATCCATTATTAGTTAAAGGAAAATAAAACAATTTTTATGAGAGAAGTTTGAAAAACGGAATCAAAAGCTATGTCCATTTTCTTGAATGAACATATGTCCAAATCCTTGGAAAGGATGGATTTTATGAGAGAAGTTTGAAAAATGGAATCAAATGCTATGTCCATTTTCTTGAATGAACATATGTCCATCCTTTCCAAGGATTTTGAACCGTGTCTATATTTTAAACGCGTATTTTGAGTTGTGTTTAATAATTAAAGCGATATATTAGTTATCTTTTCATTGTACAGTACAGAACCCGTTATCCGGAAATCAGAAAACCGGAAAACCAAAAAACCGGAACGAAATTCGGTAAATTTTCCCGCCATTTTTAAATTTTTTTTTCTTCCTCATAAGATATTAGGATTTTTCTTTCTTTTTTGAAAGATGTTTACCATACCATCATTTTAGAAATAATCATTACTGTATTAATTCATCGTTTTTTCTTCTTTTTAAGATTATTTCCTAATATTTATTTTTTTAGTTGGGTTTAACAATAAAAAAAACGGCTTTTTGTAGCGATTCAGAAAACCGGAAAAATCAGTTATCCGGAATAGCGATGGTCCCGATCGTTCCGGATAATGGGTTCCCTACTGTACAATTTTTTATATGGTGGGCAGTTAATTTACTCAAGTAGAGTCAAAACGTCATAATTTTATAGGACAATTATCAAACACTTAAGCTAAAAGTTCGTTTATTTCGCATATACTTTATGTTTTTATGTTACTGTATAAACGCGTTATGTTACTGTATATTATTCGTGTGTTCTTAAATTCTTAATTTTGACTTGAAATGTTAAAATAACGACACTGCATATTTTTCTCGCTTTCAATAATTCCAGGTATTGAGCTCACTTACGATCGTAACTTAGTAATTACATAATTCTCAAATTTTGTTTTCTTACATCTTATTGTTAAGAAAGTAATGATTCGTGCTTTCTTTTGCCTTTTGTCTGAAACTAGTGACTTTCAATCGTTAAATAGGTAAGTAATTGGAGCACCGCAAATGATTTTAGTCGGATAGTTCTAAGGTTATTGGTTTCATTTATTTACGAGAAAACGGAGAAAATATGATTGCATATTTCACGCGATAGTAAAAAGTGTTTCTCATTGACGGCTGTACTTTCCAATGTTTCTTCGTCACATTTTAAAACTAGGGTGTCATGCATTTACTTTTCAATTTTACAGCTGTAACTTTTTTTTCAATCGAAATGTGAGCTGATTTTAATCACCCAATGCTTCTTATTGTAATGCAACTAAAGATGAGGCAGGCTGGCCCAAGACCGTTACTCCGGGAGCGGACCAATCAAAGCTTCGACTTGTTTATTAAAAAAAACATTTATTAAGATCAAATTAAACTTGTGATCACCTTATAGAGATGGTCAGCTTAACAGGTTTTGCAATAAATTTTTAAAACTTTCAAACTCAACAAATATACAAATGAGCTAATATTGTTTCAGTTTTAAGTATTAAACTTTTTTAATTTACTAAACATGAAAAATTATAAGGTATAATAATTTTACGTATCTGACATATTAAATCCTATCGAAGTTCGGACGGGCCCAAATTCAAAATCATCAGTATGTGTCTTCATAAAATTTCACTGAAAAAAGTTCCGGCTCAAATTAGGGTATAAAGTACCTGCACTTCGGGTGCATCATCTGAAAAATCCCTTTTATGTAAAATCCATTTTTTCCGTAAAATATTATGCCATAATTTTTACAGTACATATATTTAATTGGAAAGATTCGTGATTTTACGATAATTATTTCTGTAAAAATTACGGTATATTAGATTTTTTGTTCCTTAGCATGTTTCGGTAAAAACTGATTTTATGGTAAAAAGTACCGGCATCCTGAGTGCCAGTACTTTTTACCCTAATTTGATCCGGAATTTTTTACAATATCTGCCGAGGTCATTTTTGAGGGCAAAGTGTTACATAAA